CCCTACAAAAGTAGGAAAATTAAAAAATTTATCCTGCTGGATTATCCTACGTAAGTATCTATTATTGTGGTGCCACAGCACAAAATGGTAACACGTTAGAGAAGTATAGCTCAGTGAACGTAATTTCTGTATTGTTAATTTGCAATGCTTTCTTCATACATTTTTAAATTTAATTCAAAGAAGAGTGACAACATCTGGGTCTTGAATATAATAAATCAAGCATTCATTGTACCAGTATAAACATCCAAAGTGACAGTTTTCTGTTGGTAAACAATACCAGCATTTTCTGGGATGATTCGGTAATCTCTATGCAATGTAGCACAGAGAAATGTTCATTCATGGGTGGACATACAAACAATTGAAAGATTCAAGAGATGATCTCCATTTTAGAATGAGAAGCCTTCGCAGAACTGCAAAAGGAGTCTTTTCTCCCTACACAAAGGAGTTCTAATGCTTTAAAAGAAGACTCTGATCCCCCATGTGACCACAAGTCTCCTTGGAAAACATATTCCTGCTTCAGTAGAAAGACCATCTCCCTGTTAATCTCACTTATTTTTATAAGAAAAAAAAAGCATGAAACCGTTTCTTCAGCACAGAGCACTGAAGACTTTGTGAATGTACTGCATGGAAGATGCGGTGTTCCACAGGGACAAAAGCGCTGATGTTAGTCACAGGAAAAGCGCTACAGTTTGCCCCAACACTATAGTTTGACAAATATTGTGCAACTTTACCACGTTTCTATAAGGCAAATTTAGTAATGGTGTGGTACGTTACTGAACAGGGGATCCAAACCCATGTGCACACACATATTAAAAACCTCTGCAGTTTGGGATGGAAATGTCAGCACAACTGCAAGATTAATTTTCCTCTATCAGTCCTTGCTAAATTGAGCTGCTACTTAGCTCTTAACCATCTGAATTTATGGAAATAACTAGGAGATTTTATATTTCCTTCCCTTTCTGCTAAAAAAAGTTAAACTCTCAAGGAAACTATTCTCCAGATACAACTAGGAAGTATGAAAACCTGGCTACAGCAGAAGAAGAAACAGTATCACTTTCTAGTACATCATCACATTGACTCGTGTTTACCAAATTCATTATTGCAGCTCATGGTACATTGTGAAAGCTAAAAATGAAACAAAATCATAGAATCATAGAATATCTCACATTGGAAGGGACCCATAAGGATCGAGTCCAACTCCCTGCTCCTTGCAGGACCATATTAGTGACTATTGTTATCTCAAGGAATTCCTTTCACATGAAATTAAAAAAAAAAAAAAAAAAAAGGGGCAAACCTTTGGTGCTGAAATCTGTTTTCTTGTTAGGTTATATGTTCAGGTATTTAAATCTTTCATGTTTTCATTAATCATAGAAAAAAAATTTTAAAGTGCAAATACTGTACTGTAGATTTACCGATGTTCACATGTTCACCTGTTTCCATCAGCCCATGATTCACAGTATTAACAATTCCAGAAAAAGTTGTAAATGACGTTGTGTCACAGAAGAAAGCATTTTGAAAGCATTAGAAGACAACATGGTACCAAGACACATATATGCACCTTGAACCTATTAATTCTTGCTCTTAGAAGCAGCATTACTGCAGTAGCTTCAGGGGTCATGTGAATATATAAATATATGGAGTTATAGGTCTATCTTCAACAATGACAAGAACAATTCCAAATATCAAAAAGAATACCTTAAAATAATTTTTCAGATCTTAATTTCAACACTCATAATTAGCCCAGTTTACAAAGCATTTTGTGTAATCTCAGGTGAACTTTCACATAAAATGCTCAGCACCTTTGAGTTATCTGCTTAAATAGAATACATACATACAATTAGTTTCCCATTGGCTCAGCAAGTCCACGGGGCCCCACTAAAAACACCACTATAAAGGATACAAAAATATAATCATCCATGTATCGTTTCTTTAGGTTCTCCACTATGGAATCCTCTGTGATTTTGGAAAGAAGGACCATATCATCCACTCCGCTGTGCTTGACATTGTGGCTCTGCCAATGATATCTGTAGTGTCCTTTGCTGCCCTGCAGGAAAGCACAACAAGCATCAAAAAGGTTACTACGTTTCTCATTAGCATTAAATAACTGAAAACAATCTATTCGAATTCCAACTTCCAAAATATTTTTCATTCGTTGAATTCTATTCCTTGATCCAGGCATTATATAAAGGCATACATAAATGATGTCAACTGACTTCCCTCTGAACTACTAAAGAATTGCACTGCTCTCAAAAATTAGAAGGTAATTCCATGGGGTTTTGTGAATGTCTACACACAGAAGGGATTTCAGATGGCAGACATTTCTAAATCTAGCAGAAAAAAACAATTATTCCAACTGCGATGCAGTTATTGGAAGCTAAGGATGCAAAAATTACACTCCTACAGTGCAACTATTAGCAGCGAGGATAATTACCACCTGAACTATTAAATTGGGTACAGTGGATTCTCCATCCTTCACAGTCTTTTAAGTCAAACTTGCACATACGCTGTTATTCAACTGGAAGCTGTGAGCCTGATGCAGTAAGTGTTCAGTGATGTTCTGCAGATTATGTTACGCAGCTTGTCGGCTGCATGTCTTAACAGTCCCTTTTGATCTGTTAGTCACCATGCTTAACTGACATCTAAATAGATATTCTCTCCCTACACTTAGAGATTACTATTTCAGGATGCTACTGAAAACTTGTGACATTTCAAGCTATACCACTTGAAATCAAAATCTGTTTTTTTCCAGCTGATTTGAACAGTAGTTAGGTTCAATGGATACACCCACAAACAAATTTAAACCCCATCTAGATCAATGCTATTAATTCAGCTATAAAGCTACTCTCCAAATCCAAACCTTTTTTCTGTAGCCTGGCAGATACTGCTGATGGAGTTTTGCCCTCTTGCCTTTTTATACTTTAATTTTTGTTTATGCAATACTGAAATTAGTGATGCTGGAATTAACACATTTTACACTGAGAAATTATCAAGTATGCTGTCAAGGAAGATGTGGCCAACAAAATGGCAATTCTGTGTATTCCCCTAATTTTTTAATACCACAATTTCAAATAATGTGATTTAGCTACACAGCTCTCATATATGTTACGGGATCAAGTCATATTCGTCAGAATACAAGCAATTTATTATTATAAGGTATTTAGCAGAATAAAATAATATATAATTTTACAGATTAAATAAGAAAATTCAGGTACTCTGAACACTTTGCCTGCACTCAACTATTCTGAAATGGGACACTAGCAATTTACAGAGGTGTAACTTTTGTGTGTACACACTTCCACACTAGCAAATGACCTATGCAACTGTACTAACACAAAAGCGCATCTGCTGAATTGTTTCCTCATGTAAATGGTCAAGCACTTGTATCGATACCAGGCATAGGAGTGGGAACTACAAATGGAGTCAGGGGAGTACAAGGTTCTTATTTTAAGCTGGGGTGGCTAAAAGTGTTCATTAAACTAGTCTCAGACTAGGTTTTTCCACAAACTTCACTGAACCTATTAAGGGGAAAGCCCAACCAAAACTAATGAAGACACAGATCTAATGCATAATGTATATTAGCAAATGGAGTCAGGCCTGTAGGTTAGCCTCATCTCAACTTGACTGGCATAAAAACCAAGGACCAACTGGACTTTTATTTCAAGTTAAATTAACTTGCACTAAAACCAGACCCATTCTACCACTGCAGAGAGCACAGAACTTGCAGGCTTTATGTGTTCTCTATTAAGTCTCCAGCCATTGCTACCACTGATGCAGCTCTGTCACTGCTAACAACACTAAAGAACAGCTGCAAACCTGAATTAAAAGAATGCTTTTAAATACAGTACAGCAGAGGTAAATATGTCTGAAAACACACAATCTCGGCAATTTTCTTGAATATCCACAACCTTACATGAGCTTCAATAAAATAATAATCTTAAGCTAGCTTAGTTTGCGTGAACCTTGTCAATTTTATATTTGCACAATGGAAGCAGTGATCTGGAAGCACTGAGAAAATGAAGGAACCAATTAATTTTTGGAAATTGTTATAAAACATGTGACTGAAAAAAATCGGTTGAAGGTTGGGTTATTGGAGAAAACAGAGGTCCAACAGAGAAGCATAATTTCCTTCAGTGTACTCATCAGCTCTTTATGATATTACACTTGGAAAAAGGAACTGGCAGGATGGACAAAAAGGTACGGTATCAAAATAAATACAGAGAATTACATTCTTCACAAAGCTATACAGAATGTGGTTTAGTATCAGATAATAGAGTAAGCTACAGAAAATGTGCAAAAAATGAGAGTGGGAAAACAATCGAGCTTCCCATTGGAAGCTATGGCCTCAGACACAGTAAATTCAATGAGAAGAGGACAAAGCTCACAAAGCCATGGGATATATGGAAAATGTGCACACAGTTTGCAAAACAGCAGGCTTTAAAAAAGTCAGTGACTGTTGTTGACTGTGATTAAGCCGCACACACTACCAGGCCAAAGGGCTTTTTCCCAAAAGCAATGCGAACCAGCATGCAAGCAAGAGGGGCAGCGCCAGGAAGGCTCAGCTTGCCCTGAGAGCAGCTCTCCCCAGTGCTTACACACTGCTCTAACGTGCAGCTGTAATCAAACCTGAGTACTACACTATCACACACCCTCAAATGGAAAAGGATGCAGAGATTTAATAAAAAGGCAGCAGCCTAAATATCCAAGAAAGCAACAGCATGGAAGACAGCTGAGAGTGGTAGTACTTCACATTAATGTTGTATCACATTTTAAACGACAGTTTTTATCAGTAGTTTGGGACTACTTTTTTCCACTTAAAGCATGGCCTTACATGCAAATATACAGAAACACAGCAAAAACATCACCAGATTATTATCAGACTTCTCCTTAGGATCTAGAAATAAGCCCAAGCTTTAGTAGCGCCTAACTGCATCTGTGGTTAAGTTTTGCTCTCGCTCTCCCTTCTCCAGGAACCTAACACCAGTAGGATGGCCATGCACAGTGGCTAGCACCTCCTTGGTCTGGGCAACAAAACAGGGAGTGCTGTTTCTACAGGACAGCACCTACCCCCAAGTTCTTCCTCTTCCAAGCATGAGTGATGACTACAGAGTCTAACTTGTATTTATCAATTTCGGTCACTTCCAACTGGTACTATAACCATGTCCAGCTAGCAGTTAACTGTTTTTT